CTGATTCAAGCTTTATGAAAGCCATTTATCTTGAAAAGTATTAGCAATTCACTCGATTATCTTATGTAGTAGACTTGCCCCTTTGTGCAACACATTTCCTTTCCCCTTTCAACACACTAAGCTTGATCTTACTGTAGTATCTTTCCACTCTGCCTGGAATATACTTCTCATGGCCGATTCTTTCTGTTCATTCCGTTCTCAGTGTAAATACCATTGCTCACAGAGGCTGTTTGACCTCTCAATCTAAAGTTTGTTCTAAATCACACAAGAGCCCTTAACCCCATCTGCAATGATCACTTCCAGAAGCCAGAGGCCTTGTCTGTCTTGTTCCCACTTTACCTCCCAGGCCTGTAACAGCACTTGGCGTGAATCAGGCACCCAAATATCTGTTAAGTGAATGAATACACGAACATTTAGCTCAATGTTCTTGGTTTTCTTTTTAAGAGTCTCATTGTATTATCAGGTTTGTTTCTTTTTTTTAAGAAATTTCAAAAAGAAAAAAATCTTCCAACCCCTTACCTGCTTTGAGAACACCAAAAACATCCTTCAAAATGCAGTTGGATGCTTACACTAAAGAATTATTAGCGGTTTTTCTGAGGTTCCAATTTAACTGGGAATCCTGTATTTTATTTGCCAATCCTAGCCAGGGGGAGTAAGGAAGAGAGAAGAACCAGAATGGGATGTGTTAGGGCAGGTGAAGCAGTTAAAGGGAGACAGCAGCTGCTACAATGAGTAAGAAACTGGGAAGACAGACGTGGAAAGAGAAATTTAGGATTTGTTGCTTTGTGTTCAATGTAATTTATCCTCTGCTACTTCAAGAAAACTTCAGTAAAGGTCTACTTTTCAAAAAAAAAAAAAAAAAAATGCAGATGGGAGACTACCTCCTCTGAGACGTCTTCCCTTACCTTTGCATCGAAAAACCCTTTCCTCCTGTGCTACCACTGAACTTGGTACATTAGCACTTTGAATTCTGTCTGTAAGCTCCAGAAGGGCAGAGGTTAAGAAAGTGTTTCGGGCCGGCCCCGTGGCTTAGTGATTAAGTGCTCGCGCTCCGATGCTGGCGGCCTGGGTTTGGATCCCGGGCGCGCACCGACGCACCGCTTCTCTGGCCATGCTGAGGCCGCGTCCCACATACAACAACTAGAAGGATGTGCAACTATGACATACAACTATCTACTGGGGCTTTGGGGGAACAAAAAAAAAAAAAAAATAAAAAAAAAAAAAAAAAGAAAGTGTTTCATCTGTATCACCAGCATCTAGAACAGTGTGTGGTACAAGTGTCTGTTCAACACGAAAATCTAAAAACTACATCTAAATCAGAATGAAGCCAGTTATTGTAACTGTACTCTATTACTCAGCATGGCAAAGAAAAAAAGCAACTCAAAGTCTAGACAGGTATACAATTCAAACATATACTTACTGTTTCAAAAGTATTCAATATCATCAAAGGGAAAAAAACATTAAAATATTCTCCACAATCTTGAAATTTGACAGGCACAGGTCTTGAGATGGACTGACTCAGACTTGCTGGGGGCCCGGACTGATCAAACTTCACAAACATTTCGTATTTCCATTTTAACACCTCTTTAACAAAGGTGTCAGAGATAGACTGTGATGACAAGAGAATGTTTACTGGAGAGGAAGCCAAAAAAGATTTGTTTTCACCAAAGGGAAGTTTGTAACCTTGTCTGTTGGAATTATTTGGAGTCTGAGAACGAAGAACATTGCAAAAACTCTTCACTTCACCCATCGGCTTTTGAGACACCAAAGAGACTGGCTGTGGTGCTTTAAAAATAGATTGTACATTTGACTTATTTTTTAGAGCTGGTAGAAGTGCTGAGGTATTTTCCAAAGACTTGGAAAGATTAGCAATTCGTGAAGTACTACGTGAGCTAAAAATCTTAGCAGTGGAAGGTCTCGAACGTTTAGATGAAGAAACAGGCAAGCTAGGTTTACGAAATACATCTTCATCCGCTGCTTTAACTTCAGAGTGTTTTGAGCAGTACTCACCCTGGTTTTTCATAGTTTCAACACAATCTTTGTACTTACATTTTGTGCTACTCAAGGATTCCAATTGAGGTCGACTTACAGAATCATCTTCTACCTGAACAGCATGTTTTCCATGAACTACCTCAATGAGTTTATCATTATCATTCTCCATTTGTGAACATAAATCCATATCTTCAGGATCACGTTGTGTTAAAAATATATTATCTTCCTCCATATCACTATTGGATTCAGGCTCTTGCTCTTTCAAAGTTGCCAGCTCTAAACGATGTACTGTTAGGTCACTTCCACCTAGAAGGTCCTCTGAAGTAGAGACAATTATTTCATTTGTTGGTATTCTTCCATTTAACACTACAGAATTACACTGGTTCAAAAGAGAAGTATCATCAGTCACCCGAGAAACATATGTTGCTTTCATGGGTTCTAGTTCAGAAGATGCACATTTTTTTAATTGTTTTCCATCACTGTCAGCAGTTACCTCAGTTCCTCCTCTATTACGTGACCTATCTGGTTCTGGTACAAATATGTCAGAATTCCGTGCTGCATGTGGCCCTGTTGTTGTGGTATCTGTACTTCCATATTCTAAACGTCTTTGTTTATTTTGTTGTGATTTGGATCTCATGTGCCTTTGCAACTGAAGATCTTGATTCATAAGCAATTTCTTATTATTTTTGACAGAAGTCTGAGAAATTAATTTAGTCTTTTTTTGGGTATCAACTACTCCAACAGTTTTGCCATGGTGACGTAATTCAGCTAAACAATCTAAAGATCGCTGAGACAGCTCAAACGCCTTACGAGGAGCCTTTTTCAGACCAAGTTTCTCAACCGCTAAAGTTGGTTCAGGACACTGGCGAAATTTCTTTGGTGGTACTATAGCAGGAGTTGTCCTACAACTTATGTAATTTGAACTTTTATTCTGCCCTTTTTTGGTATCTGAATGTGTTCTCTTAGGGGTTTTAGAACGTGGGACTTTCCTGACAGGGTTGGAATAAGTATGAGGCTTTGGAGAAGACTTCTTTAGGGAAACTGTAGCAGCTCTCTGAATACTTGAATTGGGAGTTGTAGCCTTTATGTCTGTATTTTTAGAATCATTTTCAGTCAGACCTCTCTCATTAATATCAGACTGGTGTTCATTTCTGACAGAAGATGAACACCTTAAAGGATCTTCAGCCTTAAGTTTTTCAATTCGTTTTCTCTTAGGTTTTTTTACTTCAATTTCACAAAACTCCTCAACAGAAATACTACTAGTCTGTGGTTCTGTGTGTTCTTCAATGCCCTCTGACACTTGTTTAATAACCGCTTCAGATACATAATCTGTATCATAACCCCAATCATTTGTGATATCAGCTACAGGAGTCAAGCATGAATTTTTTTCATCCTCTTGAACTGAATTCTTGTTGTCTGGCTTCTGATCTTGCCAAACTGAAAACACTTCGCATGGACTTTCAAACTCAAAAAACTGAGAATCAGATTCCTCAAACTGCAAAAGGGACTTTGTCTCTTCTTCCTTTATTAGCTTCTTTTCCACATTTGTATTAACTACTGATGTATGCTGCCCTGGACATTCTTTCTCAACACATATTTTATCTTGTTTAATGTGCTTCTCAAAACCCAGAATTCTTTCTTCATCATCATCATCAGAATCTGAAATAATAATCACCTGTCCACGACAGGTTTCCCCAACATTATTCTGGTTAGCTTTGAAACATCTCTTATCATCTTTTACTTTTCTTTGTAGCTGGGATGAGCTTTTTTGAGCTGAATCTGATGGAAACTTAATAACACTGGCTTGAGCTATTAAAGACAATTTGTGGAGGTCTCTGTCTATCTGAGAATCTGTTAAAGTGTCAGACTTAGGACTGATGCAACATGCCTGTTCTCTCAAATTAGAAGAAACCTGATCAGTACTCTTGCTAATTTCCTTATCTCTTGATTCAAGTACAGTCATGGGATCTTTAAAGGGAGATGTTTTCTTCATGAAAGTATTGGTCACTTCTGTAAATGAGACCAAATCTTTATCATCAACATGACATTCTTGTATTTGACAACTGTTTTCATGGGAAGAGAAAATATCTAACTCTTCATTCTTTATTCGTTTCTTTTTCAGTAATAAACTGCTTTGTGATTTTTGTTCCCCATTTTTATCATCCAAAATACCATTAGGGTCTAAAGAGATATTGTGTATAAAGCCATCCCCTTTCTGACTTCCTCTATCTTTCCTTAAAAAGAAACTCTCAATGTTAGACCCAGTCAGGTTTTCCTCTAAATTGACAGCATTATTGACCAAAGTACTTTTCCTGTGTTGCTTCTTTATTACATGTGATAACTTAGCACAGATTTCATCTTTCTGTGCCTTAGTTTTTGAAGTTTGATCAAGAGCATCAACCTTTAAAGTGCAATTCTGTGGTGTATGTGAGGAATTCTCTTTTACAGACTTCTGCTTCCTTGTACTTTTAACTTCATCTTGAGCTCTCTCAGTGAAAAGGTTTTTACTACTCTGCTTTAAGCATGACTCAGGTGAGAGATGATTTTCCAGTTTGATGTCTTTTATATCATTTTGCTCATTATCCTCTACAGTGTTACTTGCTTTGAACAATATACTCTCTTGCACTTGATATGCATCAGCTTTCATTGGCTCTTTAGGAAATGTTGGGCTGGAATTTTCCAGAGAGTGCATGTCTTTTTTAGACTTCTTTCCTATTTGTTCATTTTCTTCTTTAATATAAGATGCAGGAGGGGTTTTACACGTAGGAGTTAGATCCACAGAAGTGCTACACAGAGGTACTTTGAATTTTATGTTTCTAATAATTTGCTTTAAACAAGTTTGTAACTCATGGGTTTCCTGACTAGTCAACCGCCAACCTAGAGATAAATTTCCTCGCAGGAATAAATTGAGCTTATCCCAGAATTGTTTACAAAGAGTTTGCTGCCCAAGCTGATAACCTTCTTTAAGGAGACTTCTAATCAGTTGCACACAAGCATGTTGTACAGAGTTAGATGGCACTGAATGCAATGACAGAGATGACATCACTGACGTTCCTTTGGAGCAATTTCCAGATGATTTCTCAGAACTTCGTGCAAATGCAGTGGTAGGAAGTTTGGCACATTTTACAACGGCTTCAACCCACTGCTGGGAACTAACCCACAGCAAATGCAAACATTTTTTATTTCTATGCAGTTCAATCACTGACACCAAAATTAGAAGAAAAAATTCAGTAACTTTGTCACACACACACAATTCAGTAACTTGGTCACACACAGTATCTGCTCGGTTGAGGACATCTTTGACTTCGGAGTGCAGGTGATGAATAACCTCTACTATATAAGCCACACCCAAATCCTTAAGATCCATGAGGGACTGAACAAAAGGGATGAACCACAGAAATGTGCTGTTATGAACACGCATGTCTTGACCAATATCGGACTGAAGAACGGTGGATAATGTTTCCATTTCTTCATACATGTTAGGACAATAATCCGGGCAAATGGCTGACCTCCACCCTGAATCCTAAAATGAAAGAAATATTGACATTCAGATAAACCAGCACCATTCATGATAGGTTTCACACACAAGTTGTAAACAAGAAAATGTACTGCTCAATTTTCCTAGTTTGGTTTACCTATCCATATCCCCAAGAAATTGAAAACATAGTTCAATTTCGAGGTTAAGGTTTCATGAAAATGTAAATTTACAACATCGCCATGTACTCTGGCCTTCTTTCCATTAGGTGATTTTGATTTCTAGTCATGTCACTTACCTCCCCCATCCCATAAATTTTCCACCCTTCCTAACTACACTTAAATTAATCTTCCAAAGTGTGCACACTGTAGTTAGAGTCCATTTTTTTCCCCACACACAATACATCTGTTCAATCAGAAAGCCTTTATGCAGTGGTTGATTCAGAATAACTACATATCACGAAACCAGTATTTCAACCAATTACGTAAAACACTGTCTACACAATATAAAGGCAATACAGTATCATCTGAATTCTCAAAATGTTTTATACCTTTTTGGTCTTTTCAGGATTATAATTGTATACAATCTGGCTGCAAGTCACCATATCATCCAAATATGACTCCGGTTCTAACTTGGTCCTTAAATATTAAGAACAAATAAAAATTACTGAAATGAAGGAAAAAAAAGGAAACCCTATTGTTAAGTCAAATTACAAGAGACTTCCTTATAGAGATTATTTTTAAATCTTGACACATTAACTAAACTAACCTTACACAGCTGTTCCGTATATTCTGAATCTCTCTATTGTAGCTCACGTTGTTGATAATAGTTTGAAATGCCTCAATAGGATCAATAAGTTGACCCCAGACCTTAGATCCAAGGCGATCCAGAATCACCATGAAACAGTGTAATGCTGGCCAGAAAGGATCCACACTATCATCTGAAATACAATGGAGTAATTGCTGAATTATGAAACAATTAGAAAAAGGTACTAGAATATATTGAGAAATAAGAATTCTTTATCTGGGTAGTAACAAAAAGCAAAGCAAAGCAAAGCAGCAAGTAATTTAAAATGCTGCTAACTACAGGTTTTAAAAAGCTAGCAAAGTTTTAAATTGTTCTTGCATTTTTTTCAAGCAATACTATACATTTTTGTAAGAAATTTTTTAATGGGGAACAAATTGAGATAGTCTAGATGAACTCAACTTTCTCATCTGGTTTGCAACACCCGAAACAATCTTTCCTACTCAGCTCAACTTCTCCCAGAACTTTATACTCTCATCCTTCAGTAAACAACAAAAGTAGAGGAAAAAAGAGAAAGAAAAACTTGGTATTTACAGATCTAAACAAAATCCAGGATATAAGAAATTCTGGTTTAGCATGACTCTGAATTGTGTGTCCCATCTGGCTGGCATGAAGGACTGAATCCCTGAGCTAATGGGTAAGCAGAGACATACACCCTTCATCCATCCATATCTCAATATGGCTTTGTTGTTATCTACTTTTCATTCAATTGGCAGGAATTCCCATTACTCACAAGCTCTTACCTCCAGTCCTTTCCCACTTCTCTATCAGATATGCAGTGGCAAAATAATGCCCTACTCAAAGACTTTCAATTGCTCCTCAATGTCTTCCAAGAAAATTTAAAGTCTCAGTCAAGTACTTACAAGATCACACTCTATTGTTTCTTTCTAGCTTTATTTTTCACACCCCCATAATATACCCTACATCCAGCAAAACAGATAGCTGGCTTTGTCCCAAATAAGAACCAGAATGGGGGCCGGCCCTGTGGCGTAGCGGTTAAGTGCACACACTCCACTGCTGGCGGCCCAGGTTTGGATCCTAGGCATGCACTGACGCACTGCTTGTCAGCCCATGCTGTGGCAGCGTCCCACATAAAGTGGAGGAAGACTGGCACGGATGTTAGCTCAGGGGCAGTCTTCCTCGGCAAAAAGAGGAGGATTGGCATGGATGTTAGCTCAGGGCTGATCTTCCTCACAAAAAAAAAAGAACCAGAATGCCCTGACTATTAGCACCACCTATCAAAACCCTATCCATCCTTAAAGTCCAACTCCAACGCCTCCTCCTACATCAAACATTCCCTGGCTATTTAATCTTCCATAGTATTCTTCTGAGACAAGTGCTCTAACTCACTCAGCTGCTGCTGTTATTTAGTCATCCTAGAACTTGCTGCTTTATTTCCCTCAGGGCTGTTAGACTCTACTTTTTTATCATAGTTATTTGTGTAGACCTTCTCATATACTTTTTTATCCTCTACTGCAGCTGACACAATGTCTTAAGTCTAGTAGACTCTCAAATAAGGAACGAAAGTTGTCAGCTAAAGACAATTAGTAAAGGTTTCTTAAAGAGGTGACTAACATTTGAAGAAGTTAGGGGAGCTGGATTACAAAGAGGACAGAACTATGTGCAAAGCACAGAGAAAGAAATGAACAATATATGTAGTAAATGCTGGTAAATGAATTAGTAATAACCTTAAAAAGGAATAATCTAGCAAGAAAATATATGTGATCAAAAAAAGAATAATGTTTATATACTTCTTTTAGAATCTCTCAAAAATGAATTTATATCCACAGTGAAGTTGCCTAAAGAGAAGTGAAGGTGGGGAAAAAATTATATTCATTATGTTTTCATAGGATCTGGCATGCTCGGTTCTTTACTGATTCATTCCTCCACAAAGAAGACAAACACTTACCTAAGCACAGATCCTCCCTGATCAGCTTGATAAAACCATGAGCAAAAGCAAGGTGGGGTCTAATAATAAACCTGACTACAAGTTTGAGACCCTATTTTCTACAGTATTTTAGCAGTGTCGTCCAAGAGAACTTTCCGTGATGACGGAAATGTTCTCTAGCTGCACTGTTCACTACAGCAGCCACCAGGCATATGTGGCTACTGAGCACTTTAAGTATAGCTAGTGGAACTGAAAAACTGAAATTTTAATTTTGTTTAATTTTAATTAACCTAAACAGCCAGACTTGGCTAGCAGTTACCATGTCTGACAGTGGAACCCTACAGAACCAAAGTGAAATGGAGAACCAGGAAAAAGGGAGACAGTGGGACAGAGGAGGCTTTCTCCACAATTTTAACCACCATGTCATCAGAAATTTATCTCCTATAGGTTCTAGTCTTGATTATACCACTAGCTGGGTGTTTCAACACGAAAAAGTAATTGAACTTCCCTGGGCTTCAGTCTCTTCTTTTATGAAAGTAAAGTGCTGAATTAAACTCTAAAGGTCCCTTCCAATTTAAAATTCTAAATCTGTGACCTAAACCATAAAAGGTTCGCTCTTCTTTTCTTTACACCATACACCCAAATTCTTGCAGTGACATTAGCATCTTAAGTGTATCATCATCACAATATTCAAAAGCATTCAGCAAATAAAGTTTATTACCATCTGACTGTCTCTCCATGGTGTGAAGTATTGATTGCATAAAATCATTTTGTTTGTCTGAGCCCAGCAACAGTGAATCCATGGCTTGCTCCTCAAGAATGGTCAGCAACATGCAAATACCTGTAAAATCATTTAGTTTTCTTGAACTGATTAAATAACACTGTTCTAATGCCTTCTCTGGTTTGGGTGGCAAAAGAGCAACAAGACAGTAAGAAGCAAAACAGTATTCAGTTCCTCAAACATTTAATTTTAAGATATTCATACACAATTGTTCCCAAGTAATAGACTTAGATTGATTCGAGAATAAAAAGGGAAAACGGTAAGAACTTGGTTAAAAAACAATTTCTAAAATGACTACCACACAATTTGTATTTCATCAAATCTAAGATGCCTCCAACCTTAAGATTACCATATTTCAAGTACCAATCACCGCCTATTTAAATATGACACGTGGGGGCCAGCCCCGTGGCTTAGCGGTTAAGTGCGCGCACTCCGCTACTGGCGGCCCGGGTTCGTTCCCAGGTGCACACCGACGCACCGCTTCTCCGGCCATGCTGAGGCCGCGTCCCACATACAGCAACTAGAAGGACGTGCAGCTATGACATACAACTATCTACTGGGGCTTTGGGGGAAAAAATAAATAAATAAAATTATTAAAAATAAATAAATAAATAAATATGACACATGACTGTAAGACTTAGAATCAATGAAGTAGGGTAGAACTATTTTGAGTCAGCATAGAACTTGTTGAAAACCAAAGCTAATACCTCTTTCTACCAGGAAATATTTTACAGATGGGAAAGAGGTACCAAATCTCTTTTTAAAATAGATTAAACCCTATTAAAGTCAACGGCTACACTAATATTTTGTTACCTCTAATACTGCTTTAAATAAAAGATCTATTTGCCATACCTGAAAATGTACCTCTTACAAAGATGGCTCCCAGGATAAATTATGTTTAAAAATAAGATGCTGTAACGGTTAAGTCAATTTAACAATAGAACAACAATTGGAAACTATGAAATCCTATATTTTAGCAATTTTGATCAGATTACCAAAAGAGATCACTTTCTATGCAGGATACTCATAGGAACTACATGAAAATACTAATTATGTTTGTGTAGGAACAATACTCACCTAACCAATAGTTTTTGTAGTTGGTAGTATCATACATGTGCGAGGGGAGAAGAATCAGTTTACCCTTTTCAAGGACAGAACAAGTATAAATGTCTGGACTTTCTAAAAGCCCCAACTCGATGACTTTAAAAAGGCAAGTCAAAACCTCCTGTAAGTCATAATAATCATCTCTGTCCACTTTTCCCAAGTTCCTTGCGGTCAGGATAGCCCAACGCCGAACCTAAAAGCATGACACATTTGTTACTTCATTCACCAAACAACTGTCTACATGCAGCAAGAACCTAGTTAAAAAAATAGGATTGTCTATAGATTTTAAAAGACGTGAGATATTAATTAATGCAATATGTGGACTTCATTTGATTCTGATTTGAACTAACCCTAATGAAGGATTTATAAGATAATCATTTCCATTCATTTAAACCTTTTTTTTTAAAGGGGTGAGGGCAAGAATGAGTGTATTCTTCAGACATGTAACTATCATAGAAGACAAAGAAAGGTTGAAGAAATGCTCCAGACTGAGGAAACTAAAGCAACATAACTAAACATAAGACCTGATCCTAGTCTGGATATTAGAGAACTGGGGGAAAATGATATCAAGAATATTGGATCACACACACAACTGGACAATGGACATTATTGTATCAATGTTAAACTCAGTGAAGTTTATAATACTATGGTTATGAAAGAGAATATCCTTACTCCTAGGAAATACACACTGAAGTATTTAGGGATAAAGGGCAATGATGTATGCAACCCACAATTTTTTAATGTAGCATCTTCATTATATGTAACTCAGTTCTGGGTATTCTTAAGTCGTCTTTACGATTTCTTTTTTAGTATATGTTAATTCTGAAAGGTGTAAACTCACTTATCTTTTATTGTTAACTTCTATCTAAACTGTGTTATGATCAGCGATCACAGTGGGCACGTACCAAATCCTTGAAATGTGTTGAAACTTTCATCATGGCCTAGTATGTAATCACTTTTGTAATGGTTAATGTATATTTGAAAAAATATACAGCTCATATACATATATGTTCATTAGGTCATGCTTGCAATCTATCTTACATATTCCATATCCTTGTTGAATTTTTCTGTCTACTGACTCATCAATACTGAAGAGGAATATGATGAAATCTCTAACAACAAATAATGAACTCATCTATTTCTTCTTGCAGTTCTACCAATAATTGCATCATCTATTTTGAGGCTACTTTAACTGGCATATTACTTATTTAAAATTGCTACATCTTAATGAATTGAATTGTTATTATGTAAATACCTTATCCATCCTTGTCCTGATATCTATTTTATTTGATATTACTATAGCTTCACCAGTTTTGTTTAGGTTAGTATTTGCCTATTAGTTCTTTTTCCATCCCTTACATCAACCTTTTTGTTCCCTTATGCTTTAGGTGTGTTCCTTGGGGAAAAAAAAACTATCTGGATTTTACTTTTTTTGTAATCCAAACTGATCTTTGTCTTTTAACTGATAAATTCAGCCCATTTACATTGAAGATTGATACCCTTAAACCTATTTATATGTATGAACCATTTTTTTCCATTTCTTTTAAAGCATTTACTTTTTAAAACAGTTCATATGTATCTCTGCCCTTAATAGGATGAAAAATTAGCATGCATTCTGTCACATCTTTGGTATCCTTGCCTGCCAATGTCATCATGTTGATATTATCTTTTCCAAGTTAATGAAGATATAGTCACTTTTTCTGAACTTAGTTTTTTTTAAAAAAAATAATAAACCCTACCACAGCATTCACTCAACTTTATATATCTCTTACAACATCTTCTGGACTCTTGTCTCAATGTAGTTTATTCAGTGTGGGTCTAACATTAGCAGCTCAGGACTCCCAATCTTTGGTCACTTAAGGGATACTGCACAGTCAGTCACCAGGCCTGCAAGCGTCTGGCCCAGGTCCTGGATGCTCAGCTGGACCTGCGTCCTCTATCGGTAGGCAGTTTTATAAAAGCTAGTCCCAGAGAGCACCTGGCTGTAGCTTCTGTCAATCTTCTTTCACAGGCAGGGGAGCCTCACCCTTATTTTGAGCACAGGCCTTGACTCTGGTTCTCTGCCTTGCCTGGAACACACTTGTAATTCCTTTTACCCCACACAACCTGAATCCTCAGCTACCTATAGCCATCCAAGCCTAGAGGTTTCCACTATTACCACTTTGTGATTCTTGTTCCATTGCTGGTCCACAGAAACATTAACTTTTTGAGGGGTGTGATTATACCTTTTTAAATTCTTCTTTCTGAATTTTTTTCTAACGTTGTTATGGGTTCGGCACATAGGAGACTGAAATTCACCATCATCTTGACTAGAAATCTCATTACCATGCTCTTTCTTTGCTGCTTAAAAAAAAAATGCCTGTTTCCTAACCTTCTATCAGCAGAGCAACCCTTCATGGCTACTGGCTTAACACAGTAACTCAGTTCTAGATGCCAATGCGCACAGGACCTGCAGCATAGACTGCCATGCCTCATGACCTCAAATCTGAGCAATAAGCTCAACGTAAGGTTTCAATAATCCGGCGTTGCTTTCTGTTTCTGTTCCTGCCTACTGTTCTGATTCTTACGTCCCTCTTCATTTCTAGAAATTGATCCTCCTTGTCCGGCTCCCCTGCCCCCCCCCCCACTTTTAAAAATCTCATCTATTAGCAAAATAATTTTTCAAATATTTTAACTGGTATTTCCATGTGTTTGAAGTGGGGCAAGCAGGCAAGGAAAGCAAGAGAGAACAGTCCTTCTTCTTTAATTCATGTTAACACACTGAAAGAAGTTCCAAGCATTCCCTTACTTGTCTTTTAAGCTGAAGCATCACCGGTCAGAAGTATTCCCCTACCCTCCTGGTTCTCCTCTTTTTTGACCCCATAGCGCTCTCTACTAAACTTTAGTAATTTTACAAGAGAATAATTCTGGCAAACATTTTAAACAAACTACACACCAAAAATATTATAGCTATCCATACGTGCAAAAATAAAGTATGTCCCTCCATTGCCTAACACTCATACTCACCATTTCATTGGGATGGACCAAAAACAAATAGATGCCTGGATGTTTGTCAAAAACCTGAAAGGAGCAATTAGCTTGTTCCATCCGACAAAGTGCTTCAACACATAATTCATCTAAATAGAAAAAATTAAGCAGTAAATATAACACATAAATCTTATCAACTTACCAAGATTCCCTAAATTTGGCTCCTTCAGTTGTTCTTTAATAAAAAGTTGTTCCTTTTTTTTTCAAACTGAGGCATAAAAATGGTGATAATGTAAATGTAGAAACAATAGTAACCGATTTGAAAGACCAATTGGTTGATCATAGTGTCTTCCTATGAACTATTTCTGACTTTACTAGTACACACAACATTTTTTTTACACTTGGTATAATTATCTCCATAAGGTATCTTCTTAGAAATAGGGTTATAGGTCCAACTCCATTAGCATTTTACATTTTGATCCAGGTGGACTTAATCTGGTACCAGAGTGATAAAAATTTTAAAGTCAGTTTTTGCCCAAATGGCTATTTTGTCCTACTCTCATTTATCGAATAACCTATTTTCTCCATGGCTTTGAAATGCTGCCATCATCAAACACTAAATTCCCCAAATATACTTGGTTTACTTCTGGACTCTACACTGTTCCACTAGTCCTTCTATGCCACCACTATTCTAATTCCTGTTACTTTATGAAAATTTCTTCATTACTCTTTCAGAAGTGTCTTGAATCGACTCATGCATTTACCCTATCAGATGAATCCACTTTAGTCTGTCAAGCTTCAAACAATATTGTTAGTGGTAGTGGACGGCTTTGGGGAGGAGGGATAATGACTGAAAAAGCACGAGGGGAGCTTCTGGGGTGCTGATGATGTTTCATTTCTTGACGGGGTGCTGGCTATGTAAGTGTGTTTAGTTTGTGAAAAATCATCAAGCTTATATACTTTTCTGGATATAGTATCCTTTAATAAATGTTTGAAAATTGACTTGTTCGAATTTTAAAATCTACTTTAATTTAGAAAGAACTGATTTACCTAACCAAATCTCTAGAGCTATCTTTCAGTGTACTGAAAATACAGAGGATAGAGAAATAAGTTAAATAACATCACAAGAAAACAATGCGAAATACCCAGGGGCCGGCCCAGTGGCCTAGCAGTCAAGTGCGCATGCTCCACTGCGGCAGCCCGGGGTTCGGATCCCGGACGCGCACCGACGCACCACATGTCAAGCCATGCTGTGGCGGCATCCCATATAAAGTGGAGGAAGATGGGCACAGATGTTAGCCCAGGGCCAGTCTTCCTCAGCAAAAAGAGGAGGATTGGTGACAGGTGTTAGCTCAGAGTTGATCTTTCTCACAAAAAAAAAAATAAAATAAAATAAAATAAAATAAAAATGTGCTAAAATAAAAAGAAAAACCCAGAAAGTGCATTATTCTACAGGGCAACTACATAGTCTCAACAAGTCAAGTTATGGCAAAAAAATAGAAAAAAAAAAGGTGTGTGTGCATGTACGTAGAGTAGACTGTTTTGGATTAAAAGAGATGTAAGAAACATAAACCAAATGCAATGGCCCCTGAGTGGACTCTAATTTAAACAAACCAGCCAAAAAACACATTTTGTGACTGTGAAAATTCGAATATGGACTAGATATTAGATGCCTTAAAGGTTTTGTTATTTTGTTAGATTTCATAGATCAGGCAAATGTCTCTACTTTTAAGAGGTTTCTATTAAGAAATGCAAATATAAATGACCAAAATCTAGGCGGCCATAATATGCCATGCCATTGTGATTAGTGAAAATTACTACAGACCAGTGGTTCTCAACCAGGGGTGATTTTGTCTCTCCCCAGCCCTGTCCCCCAACTCCCAATTCCCGTTTGGCAGTATCTGGAGACATTTTTGGTTGTCACAACTGGGGTAGGGGGAAGAGTGGGGTGCTACTGGCATCTAGTGAATAGAGACCAGGGATGCTGCTAAACATCCTACAATGAACAGCACAGCCCCCACAACAAAAGATTTATCCAATCCAAAATGTCAATAATGCCAAGGTTGAGAAACCCTGCTATAGACAAATTACCAGAAATGAAGATTAACTGAATGCATAGATGGATCAATATGTGATAAGGCAAATATAGCAAGATGTCAGCAACTGTAGAATCTATGTGGTGTATATATGGTGCTCACTGTGTAATTCACTTTTCTACAGCTTTGGAAACTTTCATAATAAAACGTTGGGAATAAATATTAACTATCTTAATTATATCTTTAATAAACAGATTTTCAACATAGATAAACTTAAATCCTTATAGTTCTTAAAATAATAAAACTGATATAACTTGTGGAATACCTAAGATACTCACTAACACGCTCATGTAAAAGCAGATAAGGATATTTCAGTATTTCGAGAAGAGGAACTCGAAGTTTATTTTCAAAGTCTTGGCCGGTAAAGTCAAATAGTTGTGCCTCTCCATTGTTGTCTACTATATATAATTCATCATCATCTCCAATTTCCGCCTTCATGGATTTTTCAAAGTGATTTACGAGACGTAAGGTTTCTAACTCCCATAAAACCTACAGGAAAAGAAAAACACACAGTGTGCTTTATATTTTATCATCAACAAAATATACTAGATCTATACTAGATCTTTCTAGAAAGTCATTTCCCAAGTATAAAAATTCAGAAGTTTAAAGATTCTATTATAGAGTGTAAATATTCTATTATAGAATAAAAAATCTATTTTATCACATAGTAGATTTGAAGAAAAGTCACTAAACATGGCCACTTTTATGATATATGAATATGAGTACATAAAGCATGAGATGTTTAAACACTGCTCTTGCAGAGTTTCGCTATAAATATCTCAACATCCTTATCAACTACATTCTATTAAAAAGCAAATGAGAAGTTGGAGCTTCTTTGTCAAAGGCATGAGCTAGGCCTTCTATGTCTTCCCTGCTATGTTCCAGCCATATGTACCTACCTTAAAACATCAGCTTTAGCATAAAAACATTGGTTAGCTTCATAACCAGGAAACTTTATAAATCCAAGTTTTCTCAATAGATTCATAACTAATCATCTCCTGCTCCTTTCTATATTGTACATATCTCTATGGTCTGTGTTCTGTTTTTCATCAGAAAAACGTAACAGGGGGCCAGCCCAGTGATGCAAGCAGTAAAGTGCGCACGCTCCACTGTGGCCGCCTGGGGTTCACAGGTTCGGATCCTGGGCGCACACCGACGAACCACTTGTCAAGCCATGCTGTGGCGGTGTCCCATATAAAGTAGAGGAAGATGGGCACAGATATTAGCTCAGGGCCAACCTTCCTCAGCAAAAAGAGGAGGATCAGCATCGGATGTTAGCTCAGCGCTGATCTCCCTCACAAAAAAAAATAAATAAAATAAAATAAACCAAATAATAAAATAAAATAAAATAATTAAATAAAATAAAATGAAAAACATAATAAACCAAATATTCAAAGCCACATATTTAAAATCATGTTTCAGGGCTGGCCCAGTGGCGTAGTGGTTAAGTTTGTGCACTCCACTTCAACGGCCTGGGATTTGCAGGTTCAGATCCCTGGCGCAGACCTACACACCGCTCATCAAGCCATGCGGCGGCGGCGGCAACCCATTTACAAAACAGAGGAAGACTGGTACGGACATTAGCTCAGGGACAATCTTCCTCAAGGAAAAAGAGGAAGAAGCAAAAAGAGGAAGATTGGCAATAGATATTAGCCCAGGGCTGATCTTCCTCACAAAAAAAAAAAAAAATTTTATGTTTCACTTTGGTTACTATGACTGGAAAATATGCTTGCCCTTAGAGGTTTATACTATTTACCCATTAAAAAATGAAGAGAAAAAAAAAAACTATTAACCAACAAAAAAGTAACCCCAGCCATTCACTCACACGAATGTAATATTGTCAAATATACTGACATAAATACATAAACCAAAAAAAACTCCATACACTTCATGTCATAAAATTGTTTTATATCAAAATGACTAAAAGTGAGATATCATAAAATTCTGTTTTAAGTTTCAATTCAATTCCATCAGTCAATAAGCATTTACTCAGCCCCTACTATACACCAGGCAATGAGTTAGGTACTAAAGGTATATTAGCCTTCAAAGTTTAAACCATACTGTCAGTTCCCTGAACGCTTCCAACAGAGTTTAAATTTATTCTCTTCCTAGTTATCAAACTCTGAAAAAGACTGCCCATCTAATGTAAATTACCTCATGCAAGAATGGCAATTCATCTCTTGCTTTGTGATATTCAGCCACACACTCTAAGCAGTAGCAAAGGTCTTCATCAGCTGTTTGAAATTCAATGGAATGGGCCTTGGATGCATAGCGCTTTAGGAAGTCAATGGTGGAAATACCACCAGGCGTACACCAACAACACGTGCTCATTCTGTACCTATATACAGAAAAGAAGATATCTAAAGACAAAAGAAAAAAGTAACAAAACATTTCAGGCTTATTTTGTGTAAAGAATGGGTACATTTCCTACTAATGACTCTCATCTTCAACTTAAATTGTGCCTCCACCACATCCAGGATGTTCTGCCGGCCAGCTTATCAATCACTGACTAAACTCAAATCTGAGCCCACTCTTAAAACCTTTATCTTTGATACATGAAAAATACAATGAAATGAAAGCACTCTGTTAGTAATAAACATCATAAGCAATACAAGTTTGCTATAAAGAGAAGGCTCATTACTATGTAGTACTGATGGAAAATACATAGAGACATAGAATTATCAATGTTTTCAAAATACAGATTTTGAAGTGTTCTAGTGATGCACTGGAGTTGAGTTAAAAGCTCAGGAAACCCCTCACATTCCCAGAAGCCATGTTCCAGAAATTCCTGGAAACATAAAAATCCATGAATATTAATCCATACCAATAACAAAAACTCATATAGAGAAGGATTTTCTCGTTTAGAAAGTATACATACATGAATTTGCATTTATGTGTGTATGAACTGCTGCCCATAATGGCAATGCACCATAAACAATAATAGCTACAAATGTTAACAACCTACTCCTACTAAGCTTGATACCTTTTTGATTGTCTCCAACTTTTTGTTTTTATAATATCCCCGAGCCTCCACCATCCAAACTCAAGTGAAAGGGTTAAGATGAAACAATTTTTCAAATCTCAGCAGTCTCAAAGAGAGCAAAGTAGCAAGATGGTACTAGGAAACAAGAGGAAACCCCAAGAACCAAATGTGTCAAAAGTTTGAATGAATATATGAAGCTGGTTTATCAGAACTGCAGATGGCATGAAACTGAAAGGATTAGCAAATAGGATGGAAGCCAAAATCCAGAGATCTCCAACTCTTAAGATGTAATAAAAATAAGCTAAGATGCTATACTTTTATTCCTAACTAAATGCATATAAAGGCAAACAGAAAGCTCACTGTCAGTAAGCAGTGTATTGCAGCTAAACAAAAAGCAAATGTTCGCACCAAAATAAATAAAAACAAATAAATAAATAGGAGGCTGGGGCAGGGAAAATACAAGGTGAGGCTGGAGCAGCTTATAGTGCCAGAAAGAAAGTGCTCAAAATACAGAAGGATGGGGCATGTCCAAGGGACACAGGAGCCAACCTGAAAAAGCTCCCAATGGCCAAAGCTCAAATAATATAAACAAAATAATGTAATACTGGATTATAACCCACAATAAAAACTATACATGAATCCATAACATATGAATAAATGACTGAATGAACAAACGTGAGAGAAGGGACAAATTTCCCTTATAGAAGAATTCCAAATTATATATATATATGTAGACATAGACGCTTCCTGTTTCAGGAGGTAGAGATAATCCCACCCCATCTTGAGTGTGAGCTGGACCTGGTGAATCACCTCCAAAGAAGAGGGTATGGAAAGGGAAAAACACTAACTTTACAGAGGACACATGTGGCAAACACAACCTCAACCAAGTGATCAAGGTTAACATCACCAGTGATAAGTCATATTGATAGCCCCTGACATAATGTGATAAGGAAGGAACTTCAACTCTATAGTATGCTTCTCCAAAGCCCATAACTCCAGCCTGTTCATGAGAAAAACATCAGACCAACTCAAAGTGAGTATTACCTAAATAGCTATCAGCCAGTCTGCAACAACCAGAAGGAAGAAAACCAAACGCAAGGGGAAACAAGCAAGTGTTCTTTCATACGAAAACCAGGATTTATTGGGAATTAGGCCAGGAAATTATCCAACAAACCTGATCTTGAGAAACCTGACCTTAATAACTATCCAATGAATGTAAAGTATCAGCCTAATTGGAAAAAAAGCTACAAACCCAACTGCAAACTCAACTAAGTTCATTTCATAAACTGGATGGACCTAACCCACCCATTCTCATCAGGGGTGACATCATCCTTAAGGAGATGAAAACTGGTTAGTGGGACAAAAACAAGGCCTACGTTTTTTATGTATAAAGCACAGATACACATACAGTACATAAAGAGATATACAATATATTGGTGGTATTAAAATTCATGGGAAACTCATAGGAAAGAAATGTCTAGGGGCTGGCCCCGTGGCTTAGCGGTTAAGTGCGTGCGCTCCGCTGCTGGCGGCCCGGGTTCGGATCCCGGGCGCGCACCAACGCACCGCTTCCCGGCCATGCTGAGGCCGCGTCCCACATACAGCAACTAGAAGGATGTGCAGCTGTGACATACAACTATCTACTGGGGCTTTGGGGGAAAAATAAATAAATAAAATTATAAAAAAAAAAAAAAAAAAAAAGAAATGTCTAAAAAGTTTCCTTTTAGGAAGGGAGAAGGGACAACAAAAGGTTAAGAAACATGACGCAAGTCATTGAATACCTGGGTACAGAAACTTGAGGGTATGAGCTTTGTGAATGCATATCACCCTAAAACTCAGAGTGCATAGTCTCCCCTAATGGGAAATTGATGACATCTTGTTAGAAATTATACTTTACTGCTAAGGTTTTTGTGGTACAATGACAGTTCCTAAAATAAACTGATTTTTTAAAAATTCCTTATTTTCTTCTTACATGCATGATTAAAAAATTATATATAAATGCATAAGTACAATAAAATACATGAATTTGTCTTGTGAACTGAATTTTTAAATTTATTGAATATTAACTGTGTACTTTCTTCATGCCTCTAAGAATAATTCAGGGCAGCTTTCAACATTAAAGTACATTTAGAAAAGGACATTTAAAAAGAAGATTAAAAAAGAGAAAAATCAAAACTTATTTAGGAGAAATTCAATTTCACTTAAGTCCTAAATTAGGAGCTTCCTGAAAAGCAGAGCAAAAAGATAACATGGTGAGTTACACAGTTATTTGAAAAACAAAGAAATATGCTAGTTCAGCTGGAGAATGCTGCCCTTTCCTGACAGTGATTCTAATTCAATTACATTTTATCAATGTCTACCTTGCACAAAGGTGCTGTAAACTAGGGAATACTAAGTAACATAATGAATATTATGTTTTTACAGAAACATATGAAATTATTTTATTCAAAAAAGAATTTCTTATACCTGAAAGGTCAATACCATGATACTCAGAAGTTAAAAGTCTGCAGAACCTGTTTTTTCTAGTGATCTAATTCAATGTGGGGAGCAAACTTAGAAGACATAAGAATAGAAACTGAAACTTCTTGGATATTTCTCAAACATCAACTGTTTCAAGCGTGATTTTGGCACGTAACAGACTGCAGTCAATTGAAACTATGAAAAAATTAAGGGACTTACGTACAAACTGTTATATATTTTAAAATAATTTTAACAGAGTAGGTAGCAAAAGAAACCTTATACTAAGAAAATCACAGAGTCTGCTTCTTATTCCACTCACTCAGAAAGCTAGCCTACTTCCACACTCTAGAAAGCAGGACTAAATTTTCTCAAAGCAGATGGGAGTTACTGCCGTGTAACAGATAAGTGCTGTGGAATCTAGAATACAGAGAGAACAGCACTACAGAGTACATTAACAACAGAAACACATTTCCATGATTCCTCTCAAAAGGCCATAACGTGTGTGGTTATGTCCCCAAATCTAAAATCATCGCTGACCTGACAGCTAAGCCCAAGAAATCTGAATCGGGTATATTATAACTTCTTTTTTTAAGGGAAAATTGCTGGTAGATGACTGTGAATCCCGTAAGTTTTTGCACAACTCAGTTCTTCTGAAGGTTAGTTTTGTTAATCTCATCAGATTTTAACTGCTTGGAACCATTACTGAATCACAGATGGGGGTGTCCTGGGAATCCTCAAGCTTAAAGACAGAAATAAGAGCTGCTCCCTGAGCATCAAAGAGAGCCGATTTCTCAATAATATAGGATACTTCACCAGGTAGAGCTATAACTACCCATAGGCTTACCCTGGGGACATCATTTCTCAATATTAGCTGGCGAGAAACTTCAAATAACAATCACATTCTTCTACCCTTCCCAGCTAAACCTCTTGAAAAAGTCATCTAGATTCACATCTTCAGCTCCTTTGCACTCTGGCTTCTACCCTTACATTTCAAGGAATGTTTTCGCACAAGTCTCTAATAATCTCAGTATCACCAAAGCCAATAGGTTTTTTTTTTGGTGAGGGAGATCAGCCCTGAGCTAACATCCGTGCTAATCCTCCTCTTTTTGCTGAGGAAGACCGGCTCTGAGCTAACATCTATTGCCAATCCTCCTCCTTTTTTTCTTCCCCAAAGCCCCAGTAGATAGTTGTATGTCATAGTTGCACATCCTTCTAGTTGCTGTATGTGGGACGCGGCCTCAGCATGGCCGGAGAAGCGGTGCGTCGGTGCACTCCCAGGACTGAACCCGGGCCGCCAGTAGCGGAGCACGTGCACTTAACCGCTAAGCCACGGGGCCGGCCTGCCAATAGGTTCTTTACTTGACTCTTCTAAAGCAGACGAACATTCTGACCAAGCAATCCTTAGCTGAGACAAACACACCATTCTCCTTTTACTTCCTCCACCCAATCTCCTTCATAATCACCTTTCTTTTTCCCTCCTCTCAATATCAGTGTCCAAAGGCTTGTCCTCGGGACTCTAACTTCTTCATTCAACATCCTCTTCCTGGGTGGTCTAATTCAAACCACTGCTTCAAATACCACCTCTATGGAAGCTTCCCAAAGACGGAGAACGCATGTAAAACTCTTAAGGCAATGCTTAACTATGTTTCAGCTACTCAATAAATGATAGCTTAGCCTAGAATTCCACAAAGATATATTCAATATCCAAGTTGCACACAGCGAATCTCTATTCACCTGATAGGAACCTCAAAGTAAACAGGACCAGAACAGAACAAAGTCCTTCCCTTAAATCTGTTACTTAGGTCCTGTGTGCTCTATATTCGTGGCATCACCATCCCTTACTGGTGAAAACCAGCAACCTGGGAATTATCCTATACTCTCCTTCTCTCTTAGCCCCCATCTCTATGAGTTCCAGTCTACCTCCCCAAATACATCCGTACTTCATTCTCAGTGAGACTGCCATTGCTTTAGTTTAAGACATTTTCATTATTTTCCCAGATTACAGAAGCCTAAATGAAACTCTCTCATTTGATCCACCACCGATTCTTCCTCCAAAACGCTGACAAAAGCCAAAGCTGGACTTTGAAACTGGACTTTGAAAGCACAAATGACTCCGACACAGTTTTGGGATAAAATCCAAATTTTTGAGCTCACCACACAAGGCCCTCCATGATCTGGCTCCAGCATCATCTCTTGCCATTCCCCCTCACTTGCTCTTCCTAAAGTGCTTCACGGTGTTTGGCACTCCCCCCCTTTATGGAAGCCCCTCCACCTGCCTTAAAACACCCACCCTTCTTACCTCTGCCTGGTTCTTAACCCTGAATGCACATCAGACTCACCAAAAGAACTTAAAAAAAAAAAAAAAACCAACAAGATACTATCCATAAATTCAGATGCAATTTTTAAAAAGAATTTCATCAGTGACTCTGATGAAAAGCCAGATTTGAGAACTACCCTGGGGTAGTTCTGGGGGGCCGGTCTGACCCATTCTCTCGCTGCCAGTCTGTGTCCACCGACTCTCTATCTTCTCAGGACTGTGTACACGTTTCTGTCACTGCAATGAGGCGGCTGCTGAGCTGTTCACTTATCTGCCACCCACACCACCCAGCTGCTCCATCCTCAGCAAGTTCAAGCCCGTCAGGGCAAGGGCCTCTTTGTACATCTCTTTTACTCCAGTGCTCGGCACACATTAAGGGAGTGAAAAAATATCTTAAATGCTTGCTTGAAAGATAATTACCTGGACTAACGGCCTACAGAGAAGTGATCTTCTCAGTCGAGAGTCCCGGGCTTATTTGCAAACAGGTGAGATTTGCATTCATATATACCCGGACTCTGGCCCCAAAGGAACATTTCTGAAATAAAAAGAAACAAAACTCATGAAGCGGCTTTTACACTCTCTCCTCTGAGTTTCACACCAATCCCGTGACAGCAGAGCCGGACGTCCCCACTGGATGAGAAGCTCACCCGCGGAGAGGCTGCCAACTGCCCGTGGGCACACAAGCGAGGAAGTACCGGGCAACCGCGATTCCGACTGCACAGGTCTGTCCCCACTCGGGACAGCGAGGCACCTCGTCTAAGACTCCCCAGATGCGCAGACGCAGGCAAGTTCCGCCCCAGGACCGTCACTAACTCCGCCGACACCTGAGCGCGGCGTCCTCCTCCCTCCCGGCCCCGCGCCCGTCGTCGCCCCGGAAGCGCACGAAGCCCCTCGGCGGCTGTCGGCGCCCCGTCGCCCCCAGGCGGGGCGGGGAGGGCTCGGGCGGCGGCCGGGAGAGGCGCGCTCTCAGAGGGAGGGCCGGGCCCGGGGAAGGCGGGGCGTCGAGCGGACCGCGGCTCCCCGGCGAGACGCCCCGCTCACCCCCAAGGAAACTGCGCAGCCCAGACCGCACACGGCTAACGCGAGACCGCGGCGTAGACAGGAAGGCGGGGGATGGAGGGCCCCGGCGTCCGAGACCGGGGTGCAGGAGGGGCCGAGGGCCGCCCACCGACGCCGCGGGCTGCCCCCTCCGGCGCCGCGACCCT